TTTCGTACTTTGTGACGTTAAACTGAATGAGTTTGTTTTGAAGTAGCTGAAAAATGAGTTTCACTGTTTATTACACTGGTTTTGAAGCTGCTGCTGCTGTTTTGTGTTCAGGAGGAGAAATCGGACCGGCGCCAGTGTTCGACACCATCACGCTCATCATCTCCGACGGCGAGGCCGGAGGGACGGACGGCTGTTGTCATGGAGACGCCCCGCCCCCTCCTGTTCCTCTGCACGGCACACTTCCTGTTTACGACCTGAACATCACGCTGCTTCCTGTCAACAACAGAGGTCCCTCCGTCACGCTGGGTAAGACTCACCTGCAGCAGGTAGCTCGCAGTAGCACCTTCACACTGCTGGTCACATGAACTTTACCAGAACCTGTGGAGCTTCCAGGTTCTGATCCGTGTTTCTGTCGAAATGATGAAAATCCCCTGAACGAGTCCAACACCCTCTAAACTGTTGACAAGTCTGAACTTTAGAAATGTCTCCAAAAGTTATAAAAGAAATCATGAAGAATTCTTGTTTCCATAAACAGCTTTAAAGGGAACTAATTAGGCGGTGTAGTGGCCAGCAGGTGGCACTGCAGCTCCGTTAGCGGAAATACACACAGCAGAAGAAGACGGAAGCTAGTTTACCAACCAATAAAACACCTGGAAGAAGAAGAAACAAACCAAAGTTTGTCCATCTGCAGAGATCTTCGGTTTCCCGTCGTCATGTTGTGATGATGTGTCAGCTGATGGCGGCCATGTTTAATGATGTCAGAAACAGCTGATCAGTCATGTGACTTCACGTGAAGTTGTCTCCGTTAAGCTCAGTAACTCTGCTCAGACAAAAACACCTCAGAGAGCAGAAACACTTTATAGTTTGAGGATTTTTTAAAAATTTGCCGTTTCTGTGAACTTTTTCTTGCAAAACTTGAAAGTGCAAATAAAAACTGGTGGAAGACGGAGGAGCTCCAGCAGGAAGAAGCAGAAAACACGACGGCCTGCTGACAGACAGACGGTCAGATCAGGATTATCTGGACGTCACGTGAAGTCGACCTCCAAGAAGAACAACTTTGCCAAGAACATGGAAATAAAAAACATTTTATCTAAACTGCACGTTTTAGAACAACCTGAACAGACTAAACCACAACGCAATGAGTTAAAACTAAACAGGAAGCAGGAGAGAAACCTGTTCAGTCTAATGAAAGCAGAACAAATAAGTCTGGATTGTGACCAATCAGAACCAACACAGCAGCTGAGTTTCATCACGTAGTTTTATTTACATTTAAAACATCACATCAGATAAAGTTCACAGGAACAGCAATTTTTTTTTTTTAAATCCTCAAACTATAAAGTGTTTCTGCTCTCTTAGGTGTTCTTGTCTGAGCAGAGTTACTGAGCTTCACGGAGACACCTTCACGTGACGTCACATGACTGATCAGCTGTTTCTGACATCATCACAACCTGACGACGGTCTTTGCACTCGGATACACTTTGGTTCGTGTGTTTCAGGTGTTTTATGGGTAAATGGCTGGTTTAGGTTTCCGTCTTCTTCTACTGTGTTTATTACCGCTAACGGAGCTGCAGCGGCACCTGCTGGTCGACTGCTGCTGATAGAAACAAGAATTGTTCACGTTTTTCTCAACATTTCTGCAGCTCGTCTCAAATTTTCTTGACAATTACATGAAAACACGAATATTCCCGAAACCAGCAGCTGGAGATGAATGTGTGTGTGTGTGTGTGTGTGTGTGTGTGCGCGTGTTGCTGTTGTTGCCAAAACCTCCTGATCTTCACCGCTGAAAATCCTCTTAATGCAGCCGAGCAGCTCTGACCGACAACATCACCTATCAGTGCAACACACACACACACACACACACACACAGACACACACACACACACACACACACACACACAAACACACACCAGAGTCTCAGCCAAGAAGAGGGATTGAGAGGAGCTCTGTGGTTATCAATGGAGACCAGTGACCACTGGGACACACTGGGAGGACTGGGAGATGTGTGTGTGTGTGTGTGTGTGTGTGTGTGTGTGTGTGTGTGTCAGAAAGAACCTCCTCCACAGTAAAGACATCCTCTGTTTTCTCTGTTTTAATTCTAACAGAAACAATGTGTTCTCCTCCAACCAACCAAAGATGTCCGTCCATTATCGATCACCAAATTCTGATCAGTTCAAATTCGAGTCCAAATTTTTTTATTTTATTTTTATTCAACCTTTATTTTGTCAGATAAGTTAGTTGAGAACTGGTTCTCATTTTCAATAACGACCTGGTCAAGGGACATGAATGAATGAATGTTTGTTCCAAATTTAAAGACATTTTCTACGAGTGTTTGTGAGTTCTGGAGTTTTTAAATCATTTACGTCCTTGAATCGTGTGCAGAGAAAGTTTCACTCGTTCATGTTTTTTACTGCAGTTAAAAAAATCAAGTATTTAGTTTTTACAATAAGTCAAAAACCAGGCTGTGAGTCTGACACACTGAGCTTCATACGTTAAAACATGATGAAGCAGGAGAAGCTCAAGAACAAACTCAAGTTTTTTGCCACTTAAACAAGTTTCTTAGATTCTGTCTCTGTGGCTCAAACACTTTGAACATGTTTGGCTGGTTTTAACACACTCACATCCACAATGTCACGTCTCATTTTAGTCGGTCAGCAGGAGCTTCAGCCTGTTTGAGGCATTTCTGCAAGGATCCTGGTTCATGAAAACTTTAGTGTTTACTACAAATGTGCATCAGCCGCAGGTGACCAGAGTCACACCTGAGACTCCATTTCAGTCCAGCTTCAGTAGAAACCAGAGTTCTGGTTCTGTGGAACTTGCTGTCCCAGATCAGCACATTAAAACAGAACATAACGAGCTCCACCAGAACCACGTCTCAGTGTCTCCTACAGCTGAGCAAATAGTTTAAAATCAGAATCCCGATTTAAAAAGACACATCAGAGAATTTAAGTTTCAGTCTATAATATCCACACTTTATTAAAACATCCACAAATAAACCGAACTCTTTGAAAATGTTCTTTATTTCCAGAAATCCTCTAATTGTCCCAAAAAGTCTCACTTTTTAAAGAACGCTTTCACTGAAAGTTTTTAACTTCTTGCACTTTTAAACATTTTTAAAAAGCATCACTTTCACACACTGTCTTCCTAAAAGTCTCCAGACTTCCTTAAAAACTCCTTCTTGTCAAAAACGTCTTCAATTTTTCAAAAGAAGCACATTAACGTTTAATCGTGTTTAAACGTTTTATATTCTTGAACCATTTTGATAATCAGTGAGTCAGTTTGAGTGATTCTTGATCAAATCAGTCTAAGTTCTGTGATTTCAGCTTCTTCAGTGAATGTTTTCTGGTTTCTTTCCTCTGTGACGGTAAACTGAACATCTTTGGACTAAACAAGATGTTTTAGGAAACTCTGATCCACATTTTCACCATTTTCTGATATTTTACACCAAACAGCTGATCGATTGATGCAATGATCCCCAGTGAAAAGAATCCTATTTACGGCACTAATTCCTCCTCCTGTGTGAAGTAGAGCTCATCACTGGACAATAATGTTCATATTATTTGCACTATTAGCTTCTCAGTTTCAGCTCAATGTGGAATATTTCATTTTTATGTCCAATATTTAATTATCAACATTTTTTACTTCAGTATCATTGCTGATATCACTTCTTTGATAATATTTTATTTCACTTATTTTCCATTAATAATCATTAATAATATCTGGCACAAGAATCTCCTTCAGGAAAGTAAAGTTTTTTCTTCTTTTCAACATTTAAAGTTGAATTGGGTGCAGAAGGTTGAAGCTGTCTTTGTCTGCTCTGCGGCTGGTTGTGGTGTTTGTTGCTCATTGTGTTGTTTCACACACAGCTCAGAGCTTATCGTCCCTCGGAGGCCTCGGACAGCCGACACCAAGCATCTCCGGGACAAAGGAGCGAACAGCGGCTCGCTCCGTCACAATGGGCCTCGTGTAGGAGCCTCGCTAGCTGGATTAGCAGCTAACGCTAATCCTGCCAGCACGTCTCAGCCTCATTCAGGGTCTGTGCTGCTTCTTCGTCTAATTAATTAGCAGCGAATAAAGACCAGAGTGAGCATTAGAGCAACCAGACAGGAGGAATCCGGCTTCACCTTGTTCCTTGTTTCTGGTTTATCAGGCAGATTCAGGACTGTCCTCATTAACTCACTGACAAGCTGCTCATCGCTTAATTACCAGATTCATCAGCAGCTGACGGACACATTTATTCAGTTTAACGCCGTCATCTGGTTTCAATTCAGTTTCGGTCTTTGGACAAAAATGTTCATAAGTTTTAGTCACAAAACTGGAAAAATGTTCACATCATGAAGCCTAAAACTCACCAGCAGGTTTGAGCCTGACATTAAATTTAAAGGAACACCAACATGATGCCATTTATCAGGTAGAAAGAATCCTCAGATTTTCAGCTTCTAACTGGTCCTTGAACTAATCATCTTTAACGTGTTCTATCAAAAAAAAAAAAGAACCAAAGTGGAGCTAAAAATGATTATTTTTCAAAATGGTGTTATTCTTTATGTCGTCACCTGGTTTTGATTCACTTCGACTCTTTAGATAAAAATGTTCTAGTCAAATTTTAGTCACAAAGAAAATATTTAGATCCTCCAAACCCCAAAACTCAGCAGCAGGTCTGGAGGCCTCAGATCATGTTATTCATGTTGGTCCTTGATCATCAGTGATGCGCTGCTCTGATGGAAAACTTCTCCAAATCTGAATTTAAAATTGTTATATTTAATCAGAACCAGCTGGTCTGAATAGATTCTATAAAATCCGACTCAGCTGTGACCAACAGGAAGCATTCAGAGAGTTTCCAGGTGAACTGCAGGCAGTGTTTCCTCAGAGAGACTGAGAGGAAAATCAGAATGATCAGAAACCAGAAACACATCCAGGGTACCAATGATTGTTTCTATGACTCTGTGTCATAGACATTAAACTGCTGCAGTCTGACTCTTCACACTATGATACATCCCATAATACTGATGCTACCAGCTGCTTACAGAGGACACAAACAGAAATCACATTTAGCCTGTGGGGGTTTTGTATGCTTTTTGTGGTTATCTTGTGTTTCATTGTGGTGGTTCTGTGTCTCCTCTGACCCGGACCACCACAGTGAATGCTTAGTCCTGACAGTGAAGCACGGAGGTGGCAGTATCATGATATGGGGCTGGAGGAAACTTTAAAAAGTGCATTCTGGGTAAACTTTCCAGGCTCATATCAGCATATGTGATGGTGGTTGGTCAGAACAAGTTCTAGACAATGAAAGGACCATTTTACCTCCACGACACACCAGGACCATCTGTAGACAGGATTCACTCTGAGGGGAAACTATTTCTAAAACCACATTTTTTCTTCAGACTGTGACTCCTGGATGGATGTAGAAATGATCTGGTGTCAGTTTCTACCAGAACTCAGATGTGTTCTTCCTCCTAAATGTCATGTGTCTATCTGCTGTACTGATGAAGTTCTGAGGCTCAGACATGATGGAAAAAGTCCATGAAAGTGATAAATCTGGACCCTCCTCTATGGACTTCAAGGACCTGGAACTCTGGAATATTCACAGTCTGCCTGTAGAACTCTGGTCATTAGATAGAGGTACTGCAGATACAGAACCAGATGTTCTGAGGAGGTTCTGGTGGATTTTATCATACTGATCGGGGTCTGTGTTCTGCAGGTGAGTCTCTGCTGCTGGTGGATGAAGGTTCCTCAGTGTGTCTCTGCGGGTCGGTTCTGGGGGCCTCAGACCCTGACAGCCTCCCCGAGCAGCTCACCTTCCACCTGGAGACTCTGCCCCTTCACGGCTTCCTGGAGAACACGCTGCCGACGCCCGGCTCCGAGAAGAGCAACGCCGGAGTCAGAGTGGGTCAGTGTGGGTCGGATCAGAACCAGGTCCTGGTCCTAGATTATGTCCTCACAAAGATAGATGTACCACCGTGTGTGTGTGTCAATTCCCAGAATCCTTCAGCCTCGTCCACCTGTCCTCTGGCTTCATCAACTACGTCCAATCAGAGCACAGAGGGGTGGAGCCTACCGTGGACCAGCTGTCCGTCAGTGTGAGTGACGGGCTGCATCGCTCCGCCCCCGTCCCCTTCTACATCATCATCAATCCAACCAATGACGAGACGCCGTCGCTGCTGCTCACCAACTTCACTGTGAGTTCACCTGATCCACGCTGACACACCTGGATGTACAGGTGACCTGATCAGAGTCACGAGCCCAGAAGAGCCCTGTCCTCTGATTGGCTGCTTCAGTTCTTCATGACTGTAATAGTTAGTCCACCTCCTGTAACTATGGTAACCGTCCACAGAGACAGCTGAAGCCTCGGGAGACTCAGATGACAGAAAAATTAAAAACGCGACAGGCAGAGTGTCACTGAGGGAGATGAGAAGAAGACATGTCAGCTGCTCATTCTGATTGGTTCACCTGGAAGCAGCGAGGGGGCGGAGCTATACAGAGCTGCACCACTATTGGTTAGTTGTCGGCAGGTCAGGTTCTTACTGGCTGCTAAAGCTAAACTAGCTGTGGAGAACAGACATAAACGTCTTTGTATCTGATCAGATTTTGTTCTTTATTTTTCACCTCCAAGTTTAATATAAAACAGATTTTCAACAGATGTGACTTTTAATGAGTCAAATGTTAAAATCTGAACCAGCAGCTGATGTGACATTAAAACCAGCAAGAAGTCGAGCTGCTGCGTCCTGAACAAGCTGGACGACAAGTTTGGTTTATTCCAGTGAGACGGAAGTTACAGTAAAATAAACAAATAAATAAACAAAAAAATCTGTTTAAAAATCAAAAGTCTGCAGGCAAAGGTTCCAGAAACAATACACTGGTGGAATACTGCAACATAAAAATGAAAACAAAAACCTTCAAAACAGCAAATATCTGTACAATATATATTCTTGGTGATTTAAATTCATTTAAAAACTGTAATTTTACAGTCACACGTAATAGAATAAATTACTATGTGTAAAAATACAGATTTTTTTTAAAAACATTATTTAGCTCACAGTTTTTCGATCTTGAATGTACATAATTTTTCTTAAAAATATCTGTAAAATAACTGTATTTTTATAGATTTAAATGCAGTAAAAATAGTATAATTTTATGGTCAAATGTATGAATTACCATTTGATGTTGATATTTTGCAGCTTGGGCCTGTTTCCGTGGCGTTACCGTGTAAATGGAAACTTTTTCTCTGTGACTTTAGTTGATATTATCTGTAATTTAACACAACAAAGAAAATAAAGTAAAAGCTGTCAAACTCACATAAGAAATGTGTTTCAGTGTAGCTGATGCTGCAGGTGAGTGATCATCCGACTGTTGTGTCCTGCAGGTGAAGGAAGGCGGCATCAGGGAGCTGACCCGCTCCATCCTGGACGGCTCCGACCTGGATGCCCCTCCGGACCTCCTCACCTTCACGCTGCAGCGGCCGCCGGCTCACGGCTTCCTGATCAACGCCATCTACGGCTCCAACCTGAGCCGCTATCAAGAGATGGGCGCAGAGCTGCTGCAGAGGAGCCTCCTCATCTCCTCCTTCACTCTGCAGGAGCTGCAGCAGGGTGAGCCGCCAGCAGCACACCTGTTCTAGACAGGTAGACAGCTGGAGATGATGTCACGCACACCTGGGCACAGTTCTGCTTTAGACAAACCACGTCTCGTGCTCAGAACCACATTTAGACAGAGGACCAACATGTGAACCTTCAGGGAGTTTGGTTCTGTGTTTGATTACAAGTTTATTTATTAGATAATGAAGAACCAATCACAGAGTCCGACTCACTAGCAGCCAATCACAGGCCTGAGTTTGTCCCACTAACAGAGAAAGGGACAAGTTTGTGTTTATGTTTCATGATCTCCTCCTTCACCTCCTGATCTCCTCCTTCTTCTCCTGCAGGGTTGAAGGTCTCCTACATCCACGATGACTCAGAGACCCAGGAGGATGTTCTGGTTCTGCAGCTGACAGACGGAGTCCACTCAGTGGAAGGAACGGCTTGGGTCACGGTGCTGCCGGTTAATGACGACACCCCACGACTGCTCAAGTACTTACACACACACACACACACACACAGACACACAGACACACACACACACACACACACACACACACACACACACACACACCACTCTATAAAGACCATGTTTGGACTCAACAACAAAAAGACAGTTTGCATTACTTGTCCTCTGCAGTCAAAGGTTTTTAATTATTTAATGACTGACGTTTTAAGCCAATCACACATTTTCTACTATATCGTAGCATTTTCACGTTAGTTTTGAGTTGTTTGGTATCATAGTTATGAACACCTTATGAACAGGTGAGAACCCGGTTTAGTACCAGGTTCAGGTGGAACTCTGCTTCAGTGGAGCACGAGGAGCTGGTGAAATGTTGAATCAAACGTTGAATCAAACGTTGAATCAAATGTTGAATCAAACGTTGAGGCAAACGTGAGCTCAACAGAACGTACTCAGAGCTTAGGGTCTCCCTCTGTCCTCCCCCGGTCCGTCCCCCTCTGTTCTCTCCCAGTCCCTCACCCTATGTCCTCCCTCGATCCTTCACCCTATGTCCTCCCCAAGTCCGTCACCCTCTGTCTTTGCCCGGTCCGTCAGTCTCTGTCCTGCCCCGGTCCATCCAACTCTGTCCCCCTCCTCTGTACTCCCCCGATCCATCACCCTCTGTCCTCCCTGGTCTGTCACCCTCTGTCTTCGCTGGGTCTGTCAGTCTCTGTCCTCCCCAGTCCGTCAACCTCTGTCCTCCCCCAGTCTGTCACTCTCTGTCCTCCCTGGTCTGTCCCCCTCTGTCCTCCCCCTCAGAGGGAGTGCAGGCTGCGCCGGTGCTGTGACGTCCAGTGATGCAGAAGTGATGCAGCGACTTGGCAGCTGCTGCCTGCTTGTTGTTGCGTTCCTGCAGGATGCAGCGGCTTCTGTCCTGCGTGGATTTTATTTCCGAGTGAAGAAGCAGCCAGACGGTTCCTGATGTTCATCTCCAAAACAACACCGACTCCACCGACCTCCACCATCCCTCTGGAAAAACCTGCTGTCACACCAACTTTCCTGCTCTTGTTTCTTCTCGGGTTTAAAGGACCATTCAGTCTGTTTTGTGCTCTTCATGTCCTGAGGGGAACGTTTTACACGAACACAAACCTGCCAACATGTTGGGCCTGAAACTAAATGTTTTAAAACGCAGCTGTGAACAGTTTTCATTGTTCAGGAAACTTTATTCCTACAAAAAGAAGAAACTGTTCCAGGTCTCCTTGGGCCACCTGGACCTGGTTTTAAACTAGTTTTGAGCTGGTTCTGGTCTATATTTAAGACTTGTTTTGGACTATACTTAGAACTGTCGTTTGGCTGTTTAGGACTGGTTCTGGACTGGTATTTAGGGGAGGACCATCTGTTGCAGGACTTCTGGTTCTTCTTGTGGCTGAAGCTGGTTCTTCTGGACTTGTTGCAGGATGAATCGGACACCTCCTGATGCTGATGAACCTTTGTTGGGTGTTCACCTGTTAGATGTTGACAATCTGAGCCAGACAGTCTGAAACCTTAGGTTCTTCTCCGCTGGTGTTTCAGGAATGCTGGTCTGGAGGTGGACTCAGGCGAGCAGAGGGTGATCTCCAGTGTGGTTCTGGAGGCCGAGGACCTGGACACATCCCCAGAACAGGTGTACTTCATCCTGAACGCTGCACCGCGGTTTGGACATCTCCAGCTCAAGGTGAGTTTTACACCTCAACACGTTGTGTGACTTCACTGAAGACACTAAAGTTACTGTAGATAAAGAACAGGAGACATGAGGTTGACACCAGCAACACTTCTGTGATCGTTGGTCTGATCAGTCAGAACTTAGAAATCTCTGAACTGTCGTGTTAAAATGCAGCAGTGTTCTGATTCTGAACTATGTCTGCAGGCAGAGTCGGGTTGGATCGAGCTGTCAGCCGGTCAGAACTTCACTCAGGATGATGTGGAGATGAACCGGCTTTGGTACCGACACACTGCTGCAGCCAGCGCCGCCGGATTCAAAGGCCACGACAGCTTCCGCTTCACGCTGAGCGACCGAGACAACGAATCTCCGCCTCAGAGCTTCTTCATCTCCGTCCAGATGGTGCAGAAAGGTCCAAAACACTTGATTACATTGACACTCAGTCAGAACCTTTTATGTCAAGGTATTAAAGGAGCAACAGCCCAACATCACCTCGGCGTGATCCCCCTTCCCTTTTACACACAACAGTCAAACACACACCTCCCACGGACAGGAGTGGAAGAGCCTGTTAGTAAAGACAACATTTCCAGATAAAACCCAGATATTTTCATTTCCAGCTCATAAATCTGATCAGTTGGTTCAGACAAGGACTGAACAATTAATTTTACAAATGCAATAATAATTAACAAACACATACTCACACACAAACACACACAGAAACACAAACACTAAGAAACATTCGCACAGAAACACACACACGCACACACACGCCCTCCCTCCGCTGCCTCATGCATTATGTAGCGCCCCCTTCCTGCCACTTTTACCAGTCGGGTGAACATGGAGCTGCGGGGTCTCGGACCTTCTGGCTCAGGTCCCTCTGATCCTGGAGGAGTCGAGGTGAGAACGTTCGACCTCGTCAGCCGGTGAATAATTAACGGAGGTGGAGCAGCTGGACGGGCGTCGGCTAGGCTCCTCTGGGTGCTGCTGCTCCGACAACAACAAACTCTGACGCTTCATCTGAGTTTTGAACTTCAGGCCTCCGGTCTTCCGCTCAGAAACCTGAAACACCTGTTCTGCTGCCTCCAGGTGACGTAGTCCTGCAGATCCAGGCGGTGCACCTGATGGAGGGCCAGCGGGTCGTCCTGAACACCGACGTCCTGCTGGCGTCTGACTCTTCGGACCGGCCGGAGGAGTTGCTCTACACGGTGTCGGTTCCGCCTCGACGCGGCCTCGTCCATGCTGTCCAGCAGCCCGGAGTCCCTCTGACCAGCTTCACTCAGCTGGACGTCGCCGCTCACCGAGTGTGCTACACCCACGACAACAGCCACGATGCCGACACCGACTCCTTCAGGTGAGAACAGGTGAAGCTTCAGACTGTTTAACACCAGAAATTAATTTTGGTCACTCAGTGAAATGCCGAGTTACTCAAAACTGATTGTTTTGAAATGTCACTATAGAGGGCAGTGTTGTGCAATGTGCAGTCTGACCTGATGGTGGCAGTGTTGTAGTTCTCAAAGTGACCCGATGGTGGTGTCGTTGTAGTTCACAGTCTGACCTGATTGTGGCGGTGTTGTAGTTTACCGAATGACCCCATGGTGGCGGTATTGTAGTTCTCAGATAAGTCAACTTTATTAATCAAACAGGAATCGATTAGATCCAGTAAAATAGTTAAAAATATAAGAATGAAAGCAAATTGAGGTGCAAAGGACTAGTAATGCTGAATACCATCGATAATATCAGAAAAGATATTATTAATACTTTATTCATGCTACTAATATTTATAATGTTATCAATAAAAACTCCTGATGAAATACTGTTTAATAGATATCTAATTAAACTGTGATGCTGGTTTCAGTCTGTTTGAACACTGATGCAGGTGAAAAATTTTATTATGTTATTATTGTGCAACATGAAATGTCTGCTGCACATTGGGAGGATGTTTGTGTCCCATCACCCCAAAGCGATCACACTTAACATTTGGCCACCGACAGGAAGTTGAAGAAGGAAAAGACTCGACTCGGGACGCGCTGCTTATCTGCTTTTCAACCAGTTTGGCAGCAGTAGGTCTTACAGGGAAAACAGAACCAGAACTCTGCTCCTGCGAACGGCTGGAAGTCTGGAGACCCACCGGACCAGAACCAA